ATAAAATTTATTGAATTGTACATTAATGTTGTAGTAAATTAAATGTTCATTGATACATAGTCACAGTTCGTATTATAATTCAAATGAACTAAAAAGCACACAAATTAATTAAAAAAATAAATGTACATAAAATGTTTATTAAATAAACCCACAAATAATCAATCAAATTACTTGTAATTTGCTTTTATTAATCAACGTCATCTTCTTCATCAATAACGTTACCTTCTTCGATGCTCATATCTCCTTCATCAATTTGGTCGTCGTCTAATCCTAAAAGCTCATTAGTTTCATGATCCATAATATCTTCATAGTCATATTCATCTTCTTCACTTTTTTCTTCATTGTTAATATTTTCTTTACTAACATTAAACTCAATCTCTTCAAGATTTCCTTCTTCAGGTTCTTCTTCTTTTTTGACATAGACTTTTCCATTATAAATAATATCATCATCCTCTTCTAAGTCTTCACTCATTCCATCAGAGTCATCGTCATGTTCTTCTTGAGTGTTATTTGTTGGTTTATTTTCAGCAACACCTTTTTCAACGTGTTTATCAATGTAATAATCAAAGAAAAATAATAGCTCTGATGGTATTTTATCTCTTTTTAACTCAATAAATTCTTCTGAGTTAACAATCATCTTTCGAGGATCATTCTTTTCATCTTTAGTTTTATTAACAGTTTTTTTATCAAAGGAGATATGCCCATCATTTGTTTGTTCTTCTTCTTCATGTGGTTGGTCTTTAATTAACTTCTTTAAGGCAAAACGGTCCAGTAATAACTTTGAACTTAATGACTCCCAAAGTTCCAAATTTACATGAATTGGAGTTCCATTAATTAATGACTGTGTTAATTGTCTTACTGTTGGGTGGTAGTGATGCAATAAGAAATTAATTTCAAAACATTTTGTATTAATAGCTCCTGTGTATGCAGGGTCTCTTTTATTCCAATCAAATTCATGCTGGCTTTTTTCACCTTCATTTTTGATAATTTGATTGCCACTATCGTCAATGTCAATATCATGGTAATGTTCTTCATCATCGTCTAATAGTTCACCATTATCAAATAAACCTTTAAGAATAGGATATTTTATTAACATATTTGATACAATTCCAAGTACAGAACAAATGAATGAAGGAGAAGAATATAATGATTTAATCAATAATTTTTTAATAAAAGAAGCAATAACATCAATAGACTCTTCTTTTAATAAGTTATTCCTTAATATATTGAGGAAAATAAATTGTTTTTCTGAAGGTAATTCAGTTATTTCATTAACTTTTTCATAAATCAAACGATTACAACGTTTTGATCTATCAATTTCATTTAATAAAGAAACACATTCCAAAGCTCTAGTAAATGGAATAGTTCTAGCAATTTTGTATAAGTCAGTTAGATGTTCTTCAATTTCTTTAAAATTTTTACAACAATTAATGCATTTTCTCATTCCAATAATAACATTTTGAAGAGCACGAGTATCAATTTCTTTTTGATTGTATAATGATTTAAAATACACAATAAGTAGTTTAATCATTGCTTCTGCTTGTTCTGGATTATTTTTTGAATACTGAATATTTTTGAGTGAAGTAAGACCTCTTCTAATAGTAATTTGATTAACATTAGGACGAATAATTAATTCTCTTATAGCATTAATAATATCTTCCGTTGTATCTTTATATCTTTTTAATAATTCTTGAATGTAAAAATCAGTTTTATTTGCAACTTTACCATTAAGATCACCTAATTTATTTACAACTAATGATATTGCTTTATATCGTTGTTCTGGACATGAAGCTGCTAATTCACTTGCACAACGAATAGCAGTAAGTTTAAATTTATTAACATTTCCCATTGATGCGTTTTTAAGAATTTCAAGAAATTGTGCATAAGAATTTTTTAACAAATGTTCAAAGTAATATTTTGAAAGAATATAAGGAGTTGCAATTTCAAAGTTTTGTTGTTGAAAATTAAGTAAACAACGTTTTGGTAATAAGTGTTGTTGAAATAACTCTTTTGTTGCTCTTATAGCTAACTCAGCTTCATCTCTATTTTTCTTTGTACAATGTCCTAGTAATTGAACAAGATAATTATATGTATTAAAAGGACCACTCGATACTATTAATGCCAATGCTTTAATTTTATCATTATATGTACCAGTTGTAATTAATGACCTCATCCATTTACCGTTATGTTCTGCAAGTTTCTTTTGTTCATAAACTGATGTCATTGCTTCATATTTTTCTTTGGCTTGTTTAAATTTCTTCTTGGCAATCTCATTATCATTTTTGATTGGTTTGATTTCTTCAGGAAGATCTTTCCACCAAGGAGCTGGTTGGTTTTCACTCATCAATGAGAATTAGGTTTTCTTTAGTTTTTTTATTTTTTTTTTTATTTTTTTTTAGTAAAAATTTTTAAACTTCAATCTTAAATTTCATTCTTCATGTCATCTGAAAATACATATTACTGTGAAAATTGTCATAAAAAGTATAATAGAAATAAAGGAATATTAATCTGTCCATTTTGTGGTTCTGACTTTGTAGTTGAACAGCCATTTGTTATGTTTAAGAAAATGCCTATTCCTGAGAATGAGATGATAAGAAGGTCATATAACCAATCATTTAATGATTACTCACAACCTGATTTAATTGATTTTCCACACCCTTCATCTGGAAGAATTCCTTTTCATCCAGACCCTATGAGTTATTCAGGAGATTTGTATATGCCACAACCACGAATAAGAAATCCTATTCAAATTTATCCAAGAAACCCATACACAGGAAGTTCCCATGAGCCATACCTTGGTATTTATGATCGTGGTAATTTTGGTACTATTAATGATATTTCATACAATCGCCCAACACAACCACTACGACCAATGGCGTCTTCTTCATTACAAGTTATTCCAAAAGAACTTTGTATCTTTTGTGAAAAAGAATTAGAAAAAGGAGAAGATATTATTACATTAACTTGTGGGCATCAATGCCATAGTCATTGTGTAAAATCTTCGCATTGTCCCATCTGCACTAGTCTTTACAATTAATTCACTTGTTTCTATTTATGATATTTATAACATAAATTTGTTTTTAGTAACATTAAATTACTATTTTAAGGTATGTTTCATTATGATATATATTAATACTTGTCAGACATTATTTTCCCCCAACCAATAAACCTTAAGAAAGATTCAGAAGGTTAAGGAATCAATATATTATTCAAAAGATATTTTAAAGTTTATTATTAGAAGAGTTGAAAAATTAACCAACACGAAATGAGAAAATATTAAAATATTTTCAAATCATATAAAAACAATAAATAAAGAAAACCATTAAAAAATATCTCAAAGTGTTGTTTTATTTAGCTTATTTTGAGAAAGACTATTTATAGTAGTTTCATTTGAAGAAATAAAAATAAACTTCGGTTTGATTGACAAAATAAAGATATAATATTTGTTTGGGATGGTTTAAGAGATATTTAAATCAAAGTCAATCTTAATATCTCATTTAAATATGTCTTTGAATGAAAGCTGTAAAATTTCTAATACTCCAAGAAGAAAAGAATATAATGACCTAAAATATATTATCAAGAAAAAAGTAATTAAAGATTTAGAATGTTATCAAGAGTCTATTCTTATTGCTTTATTGAATCAATTTTGTGGGATTACTATTTGTAGACCTAGAAAACAATGTAGTGTTGCATTATGCTGTGCTAAAGTTCAGACTATTCATGTGAATAGTGAGAGTATTGAGGTAATGAAATTAGCAGAACAAAGATTTAAACCTATTTATGATCAAGACATTAAAGATGGTATAGCTAAAGCAACTTCTTTTAGAAGATTTGAAAAAAATAAGAGGATATTTGTTCATAACTTTTTATTTGATCTTGCTTTAGAATTTGGCTTCTTTTTTGACTCAAAGTTATCAAGAAAATCAACAAAAACAGATTCTATTGAAAGGATTCAACGTGTTTATTTTCGAGGAAAACTCATTATTGAATTAGAAGAAGTTGTTGAAAAAGGAAGTATTTTAACTAATCAATTTTTTGATTTGGTTAGATACGGAGTTACTTATACATTAAACAAAAATGACCAAATCATCTCAAAAGTGTTTGGTCATTTATGTCCTGTTATTAATTAATGAACATAGTTTTATTCTTCAATTATTCACATAGCCTTATGATTTATAAATGAAATTAACCGTTTTATTTTTGTTTAATATTATTATTTTTTTTTCAATATATTTCTTAATGAAATCTGCTTTTTTAACTTAATTGATAAAAACTATAAGTTTTGGTGATGATTATTTTTCAATTTCTGCTCTCAAACTTGTGATTCTTAATTTTAAAGTTTTTTTTTTCTAGTTTTATTATAGAATATTGATGGAATGATTTTTATAGAATATATGAAAATCGATAGTTACAAAGAACAAATTGTATTAATACTTTACTTTTTCTTCTCAGAATTATCTGGAGTTAAAGGAACTAGTCTATATTCTCTTATATCTCGTTGGCGTTTAATAGACTTTCTTAATGGGTGAGATTTAGCTTTCATAGAGTCTAATTCTTGAGGTGATTCTAATGGTTCTCCAATATATCTAGTTTTAAAGATATGTCCATTTTTATATTGAGGTGGAATATAACCTAACATATAACATTTACTTTTATCTTTTCCTAAATCCATTCCACGTATTGGAATAATTAATCCACCAAATTGGTGTTTTGTATAATTACTTTCAATATGTAATGGTTTATAGGTTTTGATTGGAACAACTTGGTCATTTGAAATATATGTTTTAATTTCTTTTTTTAATTGCTTCCATGCCTCTTTACCTATTTTTTTGAAATGATGAATATCTTTTCTGTAATACCAATTTGATTTACCTATGAAAATAAAAGTATTTCCATATCTAGAGTTCCTTTGTTGATCTTTTTTTCCTAATTCTTTTTCAATTGGTTCAACAACATTCAATAATTCCTTTTGATTAATGAATCCAATCAATGCAATAGCTTTATAAAATGATCTTTCTCCATTCATATCAATTTTAAAATCTTCGGGATAGAAATTACTTAATGGAGAAGAAGTTGAATTCATTAATTGTTGAAATTCTTTTGGAAGACAATGTTTTGATTGAGGTGGTAAGACTGACATTAATTGTTCAAATGGCCTAAAAGGTTTTCCTTGTGTATATTGTACTTCAAATTCTGGATCAAGTAATTTACCAATATCTTTAGCAAAAGGAGCATAGTAATACGGATAATACCAATCCCATGATTGACACCCTTCGTAATAATAACTAAACACCCAATTTAGTCCTTCAACATATGAATCAACAATTTCTATAATAATATTTTTTTCTTTCTTATAGTCTACATGAAATTTTTGTTGGTAATATCTTTCTTCGTATCCTTGTTCTCCTAATTGTATTTCATCATGCTTTAACTCTTCCATTTGGCGAACTACTTCCTGTTTCTTTTTCTCGAGACTTTCTCTAATCAATTGAGACTCTTCTTTTGCTAACTCCACCTCTTTTATACTCTTTACTTTAATTTCAGTTTTACGTTGAGGTAATGCTTCAGTTCTATTTTCAAAAGCAGATTGAATTTGATAATCTAATTCTCTCATCTTTTTATCAAAATAAAGTTGATCTTCTTTTTCTTTTCTTAGTCTTCTGTTAACCAAAAGTTGCTTCTCTTCTTTCCCTACAAGATGTAGGAACCTTTTAACTATCTTAAAATTAATAGTTCCATTTTCGGTAATATAGCCATTTTCTGGAAGAAATTTAAGATATATTTTAATCAAAATGTCAATTGCTCCTTCTTGAATGTCTAGAGAAGGGATATGAGGTAAGAAATCATTCCCAACTAAGAAACAGAAGAAAATAAAATCATCTAAACAACGTTCAAAATCATATTTTTCTACTCTAATTGTATTATTTAAATATTGTCTAAGAACATGACAGTCAACAAAAATAAATGGTTTTGTGATTGGGTCTAATGGTGCTACTCTGTTATAATTTTTGCAACTATCAGAAGAATGATATTCACCACAAATATAACACTTATCTCCTTTATTATATGGCTTATCTCTGATAATACTAAAATACCTTTCATGAGTTGCTAATGCTAACATAATCAAATCTGCATCCAACCCATACATACAATGTCTTATATATGGGTTATAGTTTTTACAATCCTTTTGTCTTCGGATAAAATCAATAATTTTATGTTCTCCTTCTCCTGGAACACTTGAATCACTAAATATAACAATAATACTATTCCAATATTTAGATGAATTCATTCTTTCCTTAATATAAGCTTTAATAACTTTACTAACAGCCTCCATAAATTCAGTTCCAGGAGTTATACAATTAGAATCAATTGGTTTTTCTTTGAAAACACTTTTCTTTTCTTCAAAACTTTGGTTTACCATACTTTGTGCTGTTTTAAATCTACGACTTCGTTGTTGGTTCATTTTAGCACGTGGAGCAACACCATCAATTGCTATGTATAAAAGTTTCCTTGGTCTAACTATATCTACCATATAATCAATATATTGAGTTAATAAAACAAATACATCAACATTTGTTTCTGGTGTTTGTCTATCAGTAGGGTGATAACAAGGATGAATTAACCCATTCAAATCAATATAAAAATTATCATACTCAACTCCATTAGGGTTTGGAGATGACAAGTCATCATTTTCTATAGAACTGCCTTTCTTACAGTCATTGGTAATGCTGACATATTTTTTAGTAAGCCAGGCAAAGAATGAAGGCACTCCCATGGCTCTATCTTTTGCTCATTTTATTAGTTCTTCTACAAATAGTTTTATGTTATATATTACATAAAATTTTTTATTATTTATTTTTAGAAAAATTTTATCTCAAAATATTTTGATTTTTTAATACATTAAAAAATCAAGTTCTTTCAAATAACATTGTATTTCTTAATATATTTTTTTGAATGTTTTTATTAAGAGAAATGCGTTTTTTTTTATTTTCATAGAGAGATAGTACTTGAAGTTATTGAGTATATCAATTTCATTTATTTTTTGGTTTAAATAACAAATTAAAAAGATGAAAAACAAAATGAACTGAAAATAGGATTAATGGAGGAGGTTAAAGAGAAGCAACAAACATTAGATTTCAGTGTTAATGGAATTGAAATTCATTTTCCATACCAATTCATTTATCCAGAACAATATCAATTCATTAAAACAGTAACTAGTGGAGTTACAGATAATAAAAAACCACCACATAAACAAATTATTATTGAAATGGGTGCTGGAAGTGGAAAGACTGTAAGTATTATCACTGCAGCAAAAGGACTATTGGATAATCAAGGAAGTAACATTTCACATACAATTTATTGTACTCGTACTATTGATGAAATTAAACGAGTTTTTCATGAACTAACAAAATTATCAATACCATCAATTGTATTAGCATCAAGAGCA